AGTTTGATTTTGCTTATAATTCCTTGTAGTATGTATATATATATGGAGATTTTCCCCTAATGGTTTGTCAGAGGATACAAGGAAGAAGTTGCAACAATGTAGGGATAACATAAACAAAAAAGTAAAGTCAGCAATGGCGATTAATAACAATGTGCTATCCGAGATGGAGATACCTACAGCTTCCTTGGAGACGTTACCAAAGGTATGTCGCTATGTTTCTCAAGCACCTGAATTTTTCGCAGTCATGCCGAAAACCATATGCATTGTTTCCGTTTTGGCTAAGATTTCTTAAATGTTAATATTAGGTAATCGACATTGATTTGTCAAGTTAATGAGCATCTCTATCAAAGAACCTCTTAATTAAGCAAGGTGCTTAAGTTATGCATGATTAGATTTCTTCGATTGAAAGTCAAATTAACCACTGCATTTTTGTGTAGTTTGTTGTCATATTAGCATGATTTATCTTAAGTTATACTTGAAGAGTTAACATACTTTCCTTGTCATCAGAATGGAAAAGCTTGTTTGGAAGCACTTAAATTGCTTCCTTGTGAGCACTTTTAGATAGACCAATCAGAGTGAACTAGTAGCCTTCACATCATATGACTTGGCATTTCCTAACAACTTTCTTGCTCTTATATAATATATTAGCAATGCCCAAAGTAAGAAATTAATTCATGATCTTAGGTTTTTAGTCCATCTGGGATGTATGTCTTCTTCGGAGAATTATATTAATCTCTGCTCTCCACTGTTATTTTTTTTGTTTTTGTTAATTGTTGTTGATTCACTTATGTTTCTGGAAATACAACAATTAAGGAGTTAGTTAAGGTTTTAAGAAAGACACTCTTTATTGAGGATCTTGATATATGAAAATAATTTGGAGAATCTATATTTAACAAGGGCATCATGCTAGTTATTTATGTCTTTGTATATTTTTCCTTGTTATATTGATGCAAGAATGTGAGGAACTCATGTCAAAAGGAATAACTGGCTCAGGGGAGGGGTTTTGTAACAACCCCAACCCGTAATCGACCCGGATACGAGTCCGAGATGTCACATTATCTTTTTAAAATAAAATAATTATACAAAATAGTAGCGAATTTAACTTGTATTAAGAAATCCCATAATATACATCAGTTTAATACAAAAACTTACAAAAATAATCAGAGCATATACAACTTAAACTTTTGATTACATGCCAACATTATTTTTCATAACAAAATAACCTACTGTTTAAGTTGCTTCTGATCTGATATCCACATGAGTGATGCTATCCTAGCTGCCTATCCTTGCTCATCTATTTCTTGGGATCCTACGTGTGAAACACTCACACTCTAAGTCATCGACTTAGTGAGGCATAATATGTAATAATACTATAATGAAATGGAGTACAATGCATTCATACATCCATTCAACGCAACTACATAATAGTGCATTCTACACATAAGCTTATCAAAGTAACAATTATGAATTCATATTAATTATTTCATTAACCCATGATACAATATTGAGAACCTAAGGTATATGAGTGCATTGAGGTTGTGCACAAATGCTGTCACCATAGCTCGTATAAATGCACAGAAGTGCCACATAGAAATGCACCAAAGTGCCACATAGAAATGCACCAAAGTGCCGCGTAGAAATACACTGGAGTGCCATATAAAATGTCCATAAGGACCACATATAAATCTCCTTAAGAACCATATACATATTCCAAAGGACCAAATATATGTTTCAAAAGACCCCATATATGTTCCAAAGGATTACATATATGTCTCGAAGAACCACGTAGACCCTGGACTCTTGACATGCCAATTATACCTATAGCTCTCATCTACATAACATGGGCTTTTCACAATTCACATAGTTTATATCTTATAGACATTTAATTTCTTACCTTTTATCACATCACTTATGTAAACTTCTCATATATATTCACATAGATCATGGTCATATAATGCATATCATAGGAGTTCATGTAATGTATCGTATCATGTAATGCAATCATGTATTACCCGTGTTGGAACTAGACTTATCAAGAGTCTAATTTCCATATCATATTGTCGAAATAGTATCTTACCCGAGATGAGATTTTAAAAACCACACCAATTTTTAATTATTCTCTTTGTGAAAAGTGAATGTGATTTTAAAAAAAACTCTCGTTTCGAAAATTTGGGTTCCTTTTTAAAATAAAACGTACGGTTCGAAGAATCGCCACCAATATTTGATTAGGGTGTGATTGGACACCCAAAAATAAATTTGTCATTTTAATAAAATTTATATTTTAATTAAAAAGACAAACTTGGGGTCTATGTTACCAAAATTTGAGTTCGGGAGTCGGTTACGTGTGGAGAAGTATTAGCACCCCCCACAACGCCCTAAATCGGTACCTAGTCGATTAATTGATTGTCTTTGCAATAAAATGTATAAGTTCGAGTCTAATTTAATTTAAGATTCCATAAAATAACATTTTTTTCGAAATTTTGGATGAAAGATAATAATATTTAATTATTTTCTATCGAGAAGAACCGATCTATCATACCTTGAAGCAATCGATTCTTACTCCAATCAAAATAAAGAAATATTAAAATTTCATTCTAAAATTCAAAATAATAACACCCAAAATAATTTTTAGAGAGAAAATAATAATATTTAATTATTTCTCATAGAACATTATTATTTAAATTTTTTTGAAAACACATGTAAAAGTCAAGCAAATTAAAAAGACGGTCAAACAATCAATTATATTATTTATTTTACCAATATTTAGCGAGAATAAGGATATTCAATTAATTAAATATCTCGAGACGAGACCATAGATTCGATCTAACAATCTTTTCTCGATGAATTTAATTAAAAGAATACAATATTTTCCTCAAATCCCTAATTTTAAAATTTGATTTGCTTTAATTGGTGTCATTCAGCGGGATAGACTTTCGTTTTAAAATTATCGAAAGTAACTTTCTTATACGTTAAGACAGTTACTTTATGTCAACATTAAAACGATCGAATATTACCCTTAATCAATTTATTCTTATTCGAGTCTAATGTTTATGTCAAAATCTATTTATGAATTAATGCTTAAAATATATATACATGAAGGAACAAAAAACCTACATATAAAACAATATAAAATTTTTAATTCTATGCAATAAATACAAACGTATATACAGTATAAACACATATATATACAATGCAATTAATGCTATATGAAGTAAATATTTAAGTAAATGCGAATAAATTTTAATGGTTATATATTAAAAAAATAAATAAATATTATTATTCTTTAATTAAATTATAAAATTAATTAGCATAAGATATTATGATTATTTAATAAATATATTAATGAATAAAATAATATGACAAAAACATTATTATCAATTAATAAAAATATTAAAATATAAAAAAAACGTTTACCAAAGACATTAATTAGCATAATATATTTTTAAAAATTGATATTATAATTACTTAAGAAATAAAATACATAAAAAACATTATCATTAATTAAAACAAAAAATTAAAATATTTAAGTAAATGCGAAGAAATTTTAATGGTTATATATTAAAAAAAAAAATTATTATTCTTTAATTAAATTATAAAATTAATTAGCATAAGATATTATGATTATTTAAAAAATATATTAATGAATAAAATAATATGACAAAAAATGTTATTATCAATTAACAAAAATATTAAAATATAAAAAAACGTTTACCAAAGACATTAATTAGCATAATATATTTTTAAAATTTGATATTATAATTACTTAAGAAATAAAATACATAAAAAACATTATCATTAATTAAAACAAAAAATATGAGATTAAGATTTAAATATAGTAAATTTTATGAACAAAAGTTAGTACTCTAATATTAAAACAAACACATTTAAAGTTGAGCACCCATAATTATAATGCTCTTATTAAAACAAAGAAAATAAATGATTAATGTGATTATAAAAGCAAAAATAGTGGGATTCAAACATATATGACAAAACATTGACAAAAATTAGTGGAATATATTATAATGCTTTATTTTTTCAATTTTTATTATTACTTTTAATAATGGAATCAATTTGTGTCATTATTATTATTTAATTATTTATTATATGTATTTTAAACATAAAAGGTAAAAATAAAATATAATAGCAATTAAATAATAACCAAAATAATAATACAGGATTAAATTAAAAATATATATAAATTATTTGTCAATATTCGAAATATTATAAAATATATATATTAAAAGTGTAAATAATCCTAAAATATTATTTAAATATATGTAATATACGGGTAGAGAATAAAATAAAAATAAATAAAATGCGAAGACAAAATTAAAAGATATAGAAACTTGATTTGGTAACTATAATGGAAGATTACAAAATATAGGGACCATGGATATGATTTATCAATCTTGAAATTACACACACCCCCTCTCCAAAATGACGTAGTTTTGATAAGTGTATAAATAGTCCAAATTTGGTTCAAAATGACCAATTTTCTCATTTTCTCAAGAGAGAGAAGCTCTCACTTCTCTCTAAATTCTCTCATCGGAGGGAGCTCTGATCACCGGCCGTTCACTATTTCGGCCACCACTGGTTACTATTCACGCTAGTAGTCACTATTCCAGACATTATTCACGGTTGAAAAAAATCAAAATAACTCAAAATGTAGATTGAAACACCCTAAACCAGAAACCACCCTCATTTTTTTCCTAACAAACTTCAAAACGGCCTATATCTAAGATTTTACCTTCGGTAAAACAACTTTTCCGACGACGTTTGGGCTTTGACGAAGGTAATATCTCATTTCTTTTCTTCTCCAATTGGTTTGTTTGTTGCTCGTTGGTGTTGTTTGTATAGACAATCGTTTTTGTCCGGGTTATAAATATTATATTAAAATTATATTATTATTATTATTATAATAACTATTATATTATAATACATTATTATTATTATTATTATTACTATTATTAATGTTACATATTATATTTTACAGACCCAAGACCCAGTTACAAATATCAACCCAATTACAAGATGTTAGTTCAAGCCCAAGACCCAGATCTAGATCCGGTTACAAGATCCGACCCGTCAGCCACCAGAAATATGTGTGTGCTTCACTACTGCTTCCATCTATGTGAATGAGGTCGCCAATCATGCCACCATTGAAGCTGCACAAATCATCCGACAATTACATGCCAAAGTCAAAAACAGATTTCACCTACCCAAACTTAATCCATCAGAAAATTTAAGGTAGTGGGGGCATCATATTATTAAAAAAAAAGTATTTAAGGGTGAAATTATTTTTACTTATGAGATTTCGAGCAATAAATAGAGGAGGAAACCATTCGAGGAAGGGAGAAAAAAGAAATACCAAAGTATATGCATGTAAAAACAGGGTATCCTCTTTTACTCAAAAATTAACGTAAACACAAGGCTCTATCTTTTTCAAGGGATCAAAGCAGTGCAAAGCAAATCCAATTCTAGCAAGGTTTCTTTTTCTTTATTATCATTTGCAGTTTCTTTTTTTTCATTCGATTTAATAATTTTCAAATATCACTGCAAAAACCAAAATATGAAGATAATAATCGGTATCTTCGGGTATGGCTTGCTGTTAAATAAAATCAAATAGTAGACTTTAGAGTTCCTTTGCCGAGATACCAACATCGCCGGAGTTAAGTAAAACTGCCGTGAATTGTTCGAGTCCTTGCATGTTTGTCCGGTTCAAGTTATCACCTATAGGGGCTTAAAAATAAAAAAAATCGAAATAAATAAGATTAAAATGTACTGTAATTTTTCGAGCATCACACCAGAGTTGAGGAGTTGAATATAACGTCGAGTCGGGGTTGACTCACGGTTGAGGAGTAGTGGAGTTGGAGATCTCGACCAGCGTTTTTGTAGCTTTTGGAGGTTGATGTTCGCGCAAGAGAGATAGAGAGGAGAGAGGTTAAGCGGCGCTGAGGTTTCAGTTTTAACCAAATGATATTTCTCATGTGTTTAGGTCAAAATTGTAGTTTAAGTGAGGCTTTATGAGTGTTGAACAAAACGGCAGCGTGTAATATGTGTCCATGGTAACTCATTTTCGAGCAAATGGGTTTATTGCTTAGTGAGCCATGCTTGTTTTAGATTTAGTGCATTCTAGCTCTTAATTCATATTTCTTGAACCTTTTAATTTTACCTTCATATTTTATGTGCATTTTAACTTGGTCCATAAATTAATGTTTGTATGTTTATAATTTTGTCTCTTTATTTTATGTGTATTTAATTTCAGTCCTCAACTGTTATTGTATAATTTTTTGTTATTTTAGGCATTTAACCTTTAAACTTTTGCATGTCTCTTTTTAGTCCTATGTATATTTGAGTTTATTATATTTTTAGTCATTTATACTAATCACAGTTTTATTTTAGTTTTAGTATTTGAAGACACTCAAATTCGTCCACCCATATTACGCTATATATATATATATATTATCATATTATAATACATATAATTGTTTGTTTATTTATTTGGGTACAGGTCCAATAAAAGACAATTTACAAGCCATTTGCAGCAACCCGGGGCCAGTGCAGCAGCCCAGTCTCGACCCAGTAGACCAACGACCCACACCAAATCAGCTAGGGTTTTGAAACCCTAGCTTTTCATCCCATTCCAGTGCCGCTTTGGCCGGTCAACGCTGCAACTGTCCCCGAAGTCCCCACGCCTCCAACTTCCCGATTCCTCTGGCGCAAGGAAAGCACACGAAGCCAACCGCCAATAACAAGCAAGGCAACGTGTTAGTTTAGGACTTCAACAACCAAACCGAGTTTTACTCGAATTAAAACTCTAAAGTAGGCTTGTATAAATACATGTAACTAGAACACTCACAGGGGATTTTTACACACACGGTTGTACACACAAACACCGAAACAAAATACGCAAAAATAGCAGTGAACAGAATCGTCTTGTACTGATTTTGAAGTGAAATAAAAAAGGTATCATTTTTGTTTTACCTGGTTGAAACTTCTGATTTTGCATGCATGATTTCTCTTTTCCTTGTTGACTCGAAACGCCGATGAACGAAGGGGTTTTTTTCCGAAACATTTTCGTTAGATCTACAACCCCTCGAGGCACGTTTTAAAAAAACAAGTGGGATTTTTGAAAACTACACGAGAAGAGCTCTCGGAAAAACCAATTTTTTTTTATGATTCGCCATCGATGAACGGCGGCCGGCGAGACGGCGTGGGAGCGGCCGATGGCCATTTCTGGGCTCATACGGTGGCTGTTCTTCATTTTGAAGAACAGTCGAGAGAATTTCGAAACAGAGGGGGGGCCTTCATGTTTTGGAAATGAGAAATGAGAAATTAAAAGAGAAAAATGGACTTTATAGCAGACCCGTTTGGACCGTAACCCGACCTATATTTTCCCAGGATCCGCGTGTTTCTTTACTGGGAGAGAGAAAATTCGGTTTTAGTCCCCCGAGTTGCAATTTATTCATTTTGACCCCAAATCGATTTTTAAACGCGAATTCCTTTTAAACTCACCCCATAATTTTGTTTCCCTTTTAATTTAATCATTTTATTTATTTTTTATGTATTCTTTTTATACGAAAATATATATGTATATTTTTTTATTTTATTTTAATCCTTTTATTATTTCTTTTTATTTGTTTATCTTATTTTATTTTATTTTATTTTATTTGTTTTAATGTTTTGTTTAAACGTTATTGTATGTATATTATTTCTATTTTATTTGAATCTTTTTTTTTATTTTTATTTTTTATATCATGTTATATACATTTTATTTATTTTTATTCTGCTTTCCTAATGTTTGTGTGTATACGTATATGTTTTCTATTGCTTTTTAATTGTTTCATTAAATATTATATTATATACATATATTACTAACTTTGAATTATATCTCATATGGGCCCTCTTTTGTCTCCACTCAATCATTTTTTTTCGGTGCCTTAATTATAGTAGTGAGTTTTGCTTTTTTTTTACTTTATTATAATATATAAGATTTTCCTCTCACCTTTTTTTCCTTCCTGGCCCCCCTCCTTTTTTATTGTCTCCACCTAGATTTCATAGGGTAGGTTTAATTTGCTTTCTTCTTTATTATAATTATAGTTACTATATACATTTTATTATTATTACTATATATTCTATATACTTTTTAACATTTTATGCATATATCTTATCTATTCCTTTTATTTTGCTTTATTTTATTTGTTTTTTTATTTTCTTTATTATATTCGTTTTCACTTTTTTCCTTCTAACATTTTTATCTTTTAAGGGTATTTCAATCAATCAGAGGTAAGTTTCGGATCGTTATTTTACCTTTCAATTTAAACTTATGATTTTCTTAACAAGGACAACTGGAAATTACATAGTACCGAAAGGGCAGTTCAAGGGTGCTAACCCTTCCTTGACTGTAACCGACTCCCGAATCCGACACATCTTTGGTAAGACGCAGATCAGGTAAAAATAAGGTATCCGATCAACCCGTTTTATTCTTAAAATAAATGATCGGTGGCGACTCCAATCCATATTTTTCAAGTCGAAGCCCAAGTTCGGGGACCAACCGAAGGACGGTTGCGACAGCTTGGCGACTCCGCTGGGGACACAGGTAAGTGAGTCAGGCTAAGGTAATTTCCAGTTGTCTTTTTAATGAAAAGGGCAAGTTTGAACTTTAAGGTAACATTTCGATCCTTATTACTTACTTTTGGTTATATTTTTTCGAGTAAATAGTTGGATTGACTGTTTTCTAATGATTTCAGCTTTCCAAACTTTTTCATCCAAAGGCTCTATACCCGAGCTCCGAACCCTTTAAGTGGGGGTGAAAGTGACGCATTCGTGTGAATTTATTCACCGCATATGCCTAGCAAGTAGCCTTCGGGATTCATATACCTTATGTCTTCGTGTGAATTTATTCTCCGCATAGACATAAGGGAATGTGTCCCCTCGAGTTTAACTTAGTCCACACAAGCCTGTGATGGGTTTTGGACTAAGAGTCTGGTAAGCCCAAGGGGGCACCAGCAATGAGGACTCAAGTACCGTTTTTAGAACCTAAACCGAGAGACTTTTGAAGAAATAGAGCCTACCCCAAAACCACATTCCAAAACCTAGGACATTGTTTACCTAATCATGTTTTTGTCCCTATGTTTTTTCCATTGCCATTTTTTTTCTTTTTTCATTTATTTATTTATTTCTACTTTTACTAACTTTTTGCCTTTGTGTTTGTTCTTTAGCATTTGCATCATAACAAGAGGCCATTGATCCCTAAAAAGACGTTCATTACGCACAAAATATTCTGAATTAATGGATAAAGGTGTTGTAATACAAGAGATTAAAAACCCCGAGGTACGACTATGGTCCGAGAAGACTCAGAAGGAAAAGGGAGACAGTCTTCAAGGAAGCTATGTGTCAGAGCTGGTTAGCTACACCTCGATCAGCCTAAAGCAGAATGACGTGCAAGAGCTTCGGGACATCTGGGACAGTTTGAAGAATGAGGTGAAACAGAAGTTCAGCCAACGGTACGGTGATGTTGCACTTTTGCTTCATGTTAAGACTGATGAGCCCCTAATCAGAATCTTGGTTCAATTCTGGAACCCGGGATACAGTTGCTTCACCTTTAAACGGGAAGACATGGTGCCCACCATAGAAGAGTACACTACACTGCTGCATTGTGAAAACATCAAACTCGAGCGGGCCTACCTTAAGCACATTAAAAGTCAACCTTTAAAAAATGCACTAGCTAAGGTTGCCGGAGTTGATGAAAAATGGGTAACTGACCGAGCTCGATGTAAGGGTAGTGGAGAAGGAATCGCTTGGCTTCATATCAAGCAACTAATGAAGCACTATCCCGATGAGTGGAAGATAATAGACCTGTTTGCATTAGGTCTGTATGGTCTAATTATATTCCCAAAGACCTTGGGATACATCGATGCCACCGTAGTGGAGCTATTCGAACAACTCTCGAGAAGAGTCAATCCAACACCGACCATCTTAGCCGAGACCTTCCGATCTCTCAATCATTGTAGAAGAACTGGCGGAGGAAGGTTCACTGGGTGTGTTCAACTCCTTCAAGTCTGGATTCACAGCCACTTCTGGAAGACTAACGGGGTTGCCTACCACCGTTTCAACACCACATATTCACGTCTAGGTGAATTCATCACCAGGAAATGGCATGAAGGCGCCTCAAAGGAAAAATGGATGAAGGTTTTTATGCATCTTCAGGACCGGGATATTGTCTGGAGAGCCCCCTGGTTATTCCTCAGTGACGTTCTTTTCCGATGTGGGGACTCCGACACTATGACCTTACTTGGACTTTGGGGTGCAGTTGGGTATGCTCCATTGTTAGCACTTAGACAGTATGGGGCACGTCAGTTTGTCCTAGCAACATACGGACTAGCTAGGTCAGAGTTTGAGTATCACGGTGACAGCTATAAGAAGATGATCAAAGAAGTAGCTGATTCATGGAGGAAAGTATTCCGGATGGATATTGTAGTTGCCAGAAGCATGCTTACTCCTGATTATGTGGAGTGGCGAAGGTTAAGGAAAAATGACAATATTCCGGTGCCAGACTATGAAGACACCCGTACCATGGAGGAACATCTCAGGCATGTCCCTTCTAAACTCGAGATAGCCAAGACCGAGTTTGAAGCTGTGAATAATGAGCTAAAGCAGAGGATAAGGGAACTTGAAGCTGAACGTTATCAGTGGAAGCTTGATGTTGACTCTCAGAAAGATCGGGTAGATAAACTGGAAAGAGAGCAAAAAAGAGTCCGTTTTGAGCTCGAAGACTTGAGAAAGGGGTATCAAGATAAGGTCAAGGATAACTCCAAGTTGAAGGTAACCTCTGAATAATGGAAAGACGAAGCTCATAGCCTGAAAAGGAAGTTCGAGGGGCCTGATGAGAGAGCTTGGAAAGAACAAATGAAGACTGCCCAAAGACGCTTGGCAGATAG